GGCGCCCCCCCCCCCGAGGCCAAGAGGGAAATCCGATCTGGCTGCAGGCACCATCTGCGGAGTCGCCCTGGCGCCGGGACCTGCCCGGGGGATCTCAGTGCTAAGGTGTGTGTGGGAACTCTGGGGCCCCCAAGGCCCCCCCGTTGACCTCCATCCCAGCTGGAGATCCACCCAGCGCCTTTCTCCGAGCTGGGGCTCCCTGCCGCTTGCCGCTTCTCTAGCCTTCCCCACCCGCCCCCGCCCCCAAGAGTGGCGCATGGGCTTCGTAGTCCTGTTCTACTCACCCGTCCACCATGGAATCCCCCCGGATGAGTCGGAGGTTCTTGAAGAAGGAGAGGGAGATGAGGGCGAAGGAGTGCTTGATCTTCAGGAAGCCCGTGATGGTCTCGATGAGGCCCAGGCTGCCCTGCAGGGCCGAGGCCAGGTGATCTGCAGGGGGGGGGGGGGGGAGCAGAAGAGGCAGGACATGAGGGGACCTGGGGCAGACACAGAGGAAGGACCCCCCGGGACATTGCGATTACCTGGGGGCTCCTGGGAGGGGCCGGCAGGGGGGCCAGAGAGCTCCAGGGCTTGGCCAAGCCAGGACCTCTTTCCGGTGGGCAAGTAACCCACCCAACGTCTCTCCCAACAACGCCCAGAAAGGCCCCGGCCGGTGCAGGTCAGAGGGAGCTCAGCCAGAGCAAAGGTTTGTTTCCTGTGGGTCTGTCTTGCGTTCGAGGCGTGTCAACGAGAAGGAGGGCTTACTTTGGGCAAAAATTGTTCCTGGAAAGGGAAGCAGGCTTCCAGCGGAGGCCAAAACCTCTGTGGCCAAGCGCTGGGACTGGATCGTCAGGGCAGACTCCCCCCCTTCCAAGGAGGCCCCATCCTTGGCCCTTCCCTGCCGCACTCACCCCCACGGCGGATGTTGAGGATGAGGCTGCCGTCCACGAGGGTGCAGCCGGCCAGGTCCAGGGCCGCCCGGGTGGAGTCGATGGTCTTGGTCCCCACTTTGCACTCCTTGGGGCAGAGCCCCTCACACTTGTGGCAGAAGATGCTGCTGGGGGAGGAAGAGGAAAGAGGGGGCTGTGCCCGCCACGCCGCCAGGAGGTTCCTCCCTCGGGGGCCCTCACCCGTCGCGGGCCCCTGACCTGCGCAAACGGGCAGCGCCTCTGGGCCCTCCCTCCCTGCTCCCAGGGGCACCCTTTCGAGCCTGCCATGCTTGCAAAACCAAGACGAAAACAGACGGACCCGTAAACCCAAGCCAGCGGACCTGGGAAGCCCCTCAGTGGACCGTCCCCCCCTCCCCGTCCTTTCCTGCTGAGGCTGCCCTCAGGATTCTAACTGCGAAGCCACGCTTGTCTTCTCTTTCGCCCACTGGACCGCCCTCGGCCTTTGGTTTGGCCGCCTCTCTTTCAGAGCAGCAGCCTGTGTCTCCTGATGTACGGGCCGTCTGGCTGCTGTTTCTGGGCACTGCGGGTCCACGCGGGTGGAAAAGCAAGGGGCCAGACCGCCCCCCCCAAAAGGCCAACCCCCCCCGGGACCCACCCACTCACCTGCTCTCGTTCCTGGTGTAGCCCGAGGGGCACTCGGCCAGGCAGCGCCTCCCGTGGATGACGAACCGGGAGGAGTCGCGGGGGTTCTCGGAGACCTTGCGCAGGCTGGCGCAGTGCTCGGCCGTTATGCAGCGCCACCCCTCGTACTCGTAGGTGCGCTCCGGGCACGAGCTGAGGCAGCGCCCGTTGAAGTCAAAGTGGCGGCAGGCCACGCAGGCGTGGCGGTCCCGAGGCCGGCTGCAGCCCCCGAGGCACTCCGGGTGGCAGCACTCCGGGGAGGAAGAGCTGCTGCAGGCGCCGCCTCCCGCTTTGCAGGGGCACACTGGGGGGGCGGGAGAGAAAGGGGAGCGAAACAGGCAGGCAGGTGAGGAGCGGGGTGGGTGGGGGGTTGCGCCTACATTCTGGCTCCAGGGCCCCCCCACCAGCACGATCGGTGGCGGACGGATTCCCCGAAGCGCCCAAGGGGCCCGTGTCTTGGTCAGGCTTTTGCAAGAGGCGAGGGGGTTGACGCCAGAGGTTGACGCTGGGGTCCCCCGCCAAGCCTCTTTCCTCTCCTCTCTGGCTACCGTTCCCACCCCCCAGCCCCAAACACCCTGTGGCCTTCCGTGGGCTAAGGCCCCGCGGCGGCCCCCCCTCCGGCCAGCCACGCAGGCTGCTCGCTGACAGCCCAGGCCTTCCTGGTCGGACAAAACAAAGCGGCAGGTTTGTCCAAGCCATGCGTTTCCGCCACAAAGGCGCCCCTTTTCCCCCAAACACTGCCTTCGGGTCACCCCGGCCCATGGAAGCGCTTCTGTCTGGCCGAGGCAGGAAGGTCTCCTCCACCCCCTCTTGGGCACGGCTCGAAGCAGGCATCAGTCGGGGGGGGGACGGGGGGGGAACCAGACAGCCAGGCCCTCAAGGCCACGTCCCTTGGAACCTCTCGGCTAAAGACGAGGCCTGCCACCTGGGAGAAGCCCCCTGCCCTCCGCCTTGTCTGTGGGCGGAATAAAGGCCTCTCCACCCAAAGGCCAGTCTGGGTCGGGGCTCCCTCCAGAGCAAGAGAGTCCTGCAGAAGACAGAAAGGCGGCCCCCAGAGGGGCCAGCGCGGGGCAAGGCTGGCTCTCCCCAAGCCCCCTTTTCTCCCCAGAAAGAAGGGGCCACCGCTCAGGCAGAAAAGGCGAACTGGCTGGAAGAGGGGTGGGGGGTGGGGGCAGGATGCAGGCGGACGGACGGACGGACGGGCTGGCACACGGGTATCCCCGATAAGGATCAGCCTGTTTGCAGTGTATATTTCATTAGCAGTTCTCTTGTTTACATCAAACAAGCCCGACAGAGCAAGAGGGAGAAACAGATAAATTTACGAGTGTTTCACAAGATACAAGTTCAGGTGCTGCTCCCGGGGGGGGGGGGGCGGGTTGGGGGGGGCTCCTCCTCCTCCCTCTACCGCCAAAGGGGATCTGGTTCCTTTGCCCAGAGTGGCCACAAGCAAGCAGACCGGGCCAGTTTTTGGGGGACCCCAACCCTCCCCTCTTTGGGCGCGTTTTGCTGCCCAGGCCCCCAAAGACAGAGGAGGGGTGGCTGAGTTTCCTCTTGGGTCGAGGGGAATCAGAGCAGCCCTGCCAGGGGCCCGCAGGCCCACAGTCCCCAGGCCCACCCAAGCGCCCACTGGGGGGGGGGCAGCATGTCCTCTGCCGAGGCTGGGGGCGCGAGGCCACGAAGCAGAGACCA